GTTTTCACGTTCGGGATGCACCCAGCCGGCGGCAGTGATTGACTGTGAGCGACATGTTGTTTCAACGAGAAAGCTCGGGGTGAAGAACTATGGGGTTGGGCAGGAGAGCGGTCACTACACGCTGCATGTCGATGATTGCGAGGCTGACTGTGCATGGCTTCCAGACGATTTCCGTATGGGAGATGGAGTGGACGCAGTGCCCGTGCATCCCTCAGTTTTGCAAGAGCCGAAGGGTAGCAACCAGCCCACCGAGCAGCGCTCCCATGGAAGCCTCGGCGGTGGCAACCCCCAAGTGCAAACTATGCCACAGTGCCGACCACAAGACACGCGACTGTCCGCAGATCGAGGAGGTTTCCGACGGGGACTTCGAGCAGGTGATGATGGACCACGACGGGGAAGGTCTGCCTCGGCGGACGGCCCCGCCCCGCCCAGAGACGAAGACCACCTTTCGAGGACGCCGGGGGCAAGCAACGTCGAGCCAGCAGTCACCACAACCTCCGACCCAGGACATGGCCGAGACGGTGGAGGGAGTCTCGGGTTTGACTCCCGAGGAGATGCAGATGCTTGCAAAGAGGCGCACCAAGCAAGCAGCCTCCAAGGCCAAGGCGATCCAGCGGAAGGCCTTGACGGGGATCCAAGCGGACTATCCCTCGCTATCCCATGCTTGGAGCAGCGAGGTGGCGATGAACTTGGTGGCGTCGACGGCGAGCAGAATGCGAGTTTATCTGTGGAAGAAGCTTGTGTGGCAGGTACGAGTGCGGGCTGCAGTTCAAGCCGAGGGGCATCGACGATGGAAGAGGAACCCAAGATGGTTGGCGATGCTGCTCGGCAAGGAGGTGGCATCGTTGTTCGGCCACTTCGGGGCGATGCGCCAAAGGATGCAAGCTCCGGACGCTTGGGCTCTGATGTGAGCCGCCCCGGACCTCGCCGACCCAATCGGGGCCTTCAGCAAAAGATCAAGGGTGGCTTGGTGCGCATGAAGGAGGCCCTGGAACTCGTGGACAAGGTGATTCGGGACCCCGGGAAGAGGCTGGTCCTCGAGGTGTTCCGCGGCTCGGGGAGATTGTCTACGGTGGCGAGGAAAAGCCAGGGCCGGATGGCCGGGCCGGAGATCGATGTGGAAAGGGGCTGGGACTTGACCTGCCCCAAGGAACAGCGGCGCCTCTTGGACTTGATCCGCACGTGCCAGCCCGACCTGGTCACTCTGGATCCTCCTTGCGGCCCTTGGTGTGGACAATCTGAGGCCAGCCTTGAGAATGGGGAAGCGTGGGAACGTCGCCAACGCCATCTTCCATTGTGGCGTTTGGTGGCCCAAATATGGGAGCTGCAGACCGTGGCTAACCGCCTAGTGATGCTGACCCAGCCGGCGCTCTCCCAGGCCCTACATCTGAATTTCATGCTTGATCGCAAGGCGGTGTCCCGGGCCATCATTCCCATGTGCAGCTTTGGCTTGGCGGACCCCGAGACCGGCGTCCCCTATGACAAGAAGGTGGCGGTCGAGACCAACGACCCAGAGTTCACCAGGAGCTTGGCCGCCCGAGCCTACTGCACTCATGGCATGCAAGGCCACCAGAGTACCCAAGGTTACTGCAAGGTGCAGGGCAATTGGGTGCGTCGCTCGGATGTTGCGGCACAGTGGCCTGAACCCTTCTGTGAGCGGGTGCTTTCGGCGGCCCACCATGCCTACGGTAAAACCGCCTCTGAGGTCCAATGGTCCCTGCACGAGTCTGCCGGTGGCAAGGGCTGGGAGACGATGGCCGTGACGAGTCACGATGTCCCGGACGAGAACTTGCGGCAGGAACTGGCGAAGCACTCCATGACGGGCGAACGCTATGATTTCATTTGCTTTGAGGGAGAAGCAAGCCAGCAGCCTAGACGCTTACGCGCCCTCGTCGCCCACTTGCACGTGGCGATGGGACACTTGTCGAATGACAGGCTGGCTCGGCTGCTACGGTTGAGTGGTGCCAAGGACTCTGCGGTGACGTTGGCTGGGGCTTTGCGTTGCCAGGTGTGTGCGATGACTCGTCCTCCCTTGCCCACACCGCAGGTGGCCTACCAAAAGCCTAAGGCCTTCAACGAGAGGGTATCTGGCGATTCCTTCTTCATCTGGGACGCGGAGGGGAAGAAGTTCGCGGCCACCCACTACATCGACGCCCTTACCGATTACCAGGTGGCCGATCTCACGGACTCTCCCGACTCGTCGTTCGCGAGGGAGGTGTTCCAGGATCTGTGGCTCTCAGTCTTCGGCCCTCCCGATCTTTTGATCACGGACGGCGGCAGCGAGTTCAAGGGGAGCCTCGAGACCATGCTCGACTTGTTTGGCGTGGTGCATGAAGTGACCCCTGAGGGGGCCAAGTGGCGTCTAGGCCAAGCCGAACGTCACGGTGCGGTGCTGAAGCTCATGGTCATGAAAGTGGTCAAAGGCATGGGGCTGAAAGGACTGAAGGATATGCGCCACGCCCTTTTGGCTTCGGTGGCAGCCAAGAACAGAACCCTCAACCGGGGCGGCGTGTCTCCCATGCAGGCGGTGACAGGTCGGAATACGATGATCCCGGGTTCCCTCATGCAGCAGCTGGCCTCCGGAAGGGTGAAGTTTCAGTACAATGAGGCCGTGACGAACAGTGAGGCAGTGGCCCGGGCAGAGAGGATACGCATAGGGGCTTTGGAGGCCTTCCACTGGCTGGGCTCCCACGATGCCCTTCGCAAAGCGCTGGCCTCAAGATCCCGCCCACCTCACATGGAGGGCGTTCGGGAAGGGGCCATCGTCTATGTCTACGATCCTCCGGCGAGCCGCAAGGGTTTGGCAAGGCGAATGCAGGACAACAGCAGTTGGTCCGGGCCAGGCGTGATTGTTTGTGTGGAGAGGGATAAGCCCATCCCCCAGAGGATTTGGGTTCGTCTCCGAGGCCGAGTCAAGGCGTTTCCTCTCGAGAAGCTTCGCCTGGCGACCGTGGACGAGATGGCCAGTGCAGAGTACGTCACGCAAGCGGCGCAGGACGTGGAGAAGGAGCTACAAGGAGGCCAACTTCGGGTGGAAGCCGGCGAGGAGGCGGAGGGTCAGGGCCCAGACGAGGATGGGTCCTCATCATCGCCTGCCTCTTCCGACGAACAAGGGCCACACGAGCTCCAAGCCGAGGAGGATGAGGAGGAGAAGGAGCGACGTGCGGAGCGCGCCAAGCTACTGGATGACTTGCCCTTCTCGGTGTCAAGGAACTTGGAGGATAAACGAAAGCGTGACCTGGATGCCCAGCAGGACCCCCACGTGCTGGACTTCCAGAAGAAGCAGAAGCTCTTTGAGGACCTGGCCAAGGTGCTCCAACCCTTCAGGAGGCGGGCATCCGAAAGCATTTGGAGGACTCCTACGCCCGTTTTAAGGCCGTCAAGAAGGTGATTATGGGGAAGCCCAAGCATCCAGGCGGCCGGAGTCGTGGTGATGGGGGGCATGGCGGCAAGCAGGAGCGCAGCAAAGCCCGCACGGTGATGGTTGTGGGCACTAAGGAGACCGCCCACTTCTTCAACCCAGGGGAGATGGAGGCCCTGTTGAACGACACAGTGGGACAATGGGCTTTGTGGAGCGAGCCCTCACAGCACGCCGAGCACGAGGTGTTGGTGCAAGTGAGCCGAAAGGCTCACCAGGCCGAGATGGAGGGCGTCACGGAGGTCACCACAGGCCGGGCACGTGTGGAGTACAAGTGGTCGATGTTGAGCCCGGAGTGGAGACAGGCTTTTGTCGAGCCCCTGAAGAAGGCCGTTGGGGTGTATCTGGAACACCAAGGCATCAAAGGTGTCCCAGCTGACCAGATTGTGGACCCTATCCGCGTGATTAACTCACGTTTTGTGCTCACCAACAAGGGAGCCGAGACTCTCTCAGAGGCGGAGCTCAAGGCGAGGTGGGTGTTTGGCGGCCACAGGGATCCGGATGCTGGACTCTACGCTACCGCTTCACCCACGGCCAGTGTCTTGGGGCACAACTTGCTCAATTTCGTCGCGGTACAACAAGGCTGGGTTGTGCACTACGAGGACGTGAGCGCGGCTTTCCTCCAAGGCAAGCAATTGCCCAGGTCCGAAAAGGTGTTTGTCAAGGTGCCCCACGGCTACCCTCCGGAGGTGACCAAGTTCCTCATCGACGGACTAGGAGGTGGAGTACGCCCCGACATGGTGGAGCTGACTAAAGGAGGCTTCGGACTACCCGAGAGCCCTCGTTTGTGGTACCTCGAGTATAAGGACACTATCGAGAGCCTGGGTCTCAAGGAGTTGGCCTTGGTTCCAGGCCTCTTCAGAGCCTTCCACATCTGTGGGAAGCTCAGAGCCATGGCATCCATCCATGTGGATGACACTCGCTACGCTGGCGATGAGACGAGCCAAGAGTTGTGGGATCAGCTGCATGCCAAGCTGAAGTTCGGGAAGTTGCGCAAAGCAACAGAGGGATGGCAAAAGTTCTGTGGACGATGGGAGCGCCAGGATCCAACGACGTTGGAGATGGAGTACTCCATGACAGAGTATACCAAAGGGATCCCTTTGGTCCGAACGAGATCGGAAGGCGAGCGTGAAGCTCCCATCGAGCAACCTTCAGGTCGGTCGGAGGGCTGTACGGCGGCGAGCCTCGAAGCTCCTTCGACTTCTACCACGATTCCCTTGAGTCCAGCTACGGCGTGCATCGAAGCTCCATCGACTTCTACCACGATTCCCGTGAGTCCCTCTACGGCATGCGTCGAAGCTCCGTCGACTTCTACCACGATTCCTGGGTCCCTAGTAAATGACATAGCTCAGGACGAGGGGAATGCCATGGTCATGGGTTGTTTAGCAGATGCCGTTCAGCAAGCGAGTGTCCCGTCAGAAGCTTTGACAGAAGCCGAGAGGAAGCTGATAGGTTCGGTGGTGGGCCAACTCAACTGGGCCGCTCGTCAAGGCCGTTATGATCTGGCGTTTGTGGCCTCCAGTGTGCAGCAGCTAGCAGGCAAGGGACATGCCTCGGCGCTGAAGGTCCTGAATCAGGGGGTCAAGCGGGCACGCGAAGAGGTGCTGATCAAGATTCGTCACCTTGGCTGCGACCTCAAGGACTTGGTGGTGGTGGCTGCGAGCGACGCGGCGTATGGTGCAATGCCAGACGGGCACAGCCAAGGTGGGCTCTTGATTATGCTGGCATCGCCCAACATTGTGAACGGCCCAGCAGCAGTTTGCATTGTCGAGGGCATCAGCAGCAAGATCCAGCGGGTGGTCCGATGCTCCATGTCGGCCGAAGTGAGCTCCTTAGCTACATGCTTCGAGCACGGCGACTTTGTGAGGGCCGTCTTTTGCGAATTGGTGGATCCTAACTTTCGCTTGAAACACTGGAAGGTGTCGGTGTCCAAGTGGCCAATGTACCTGGTCACAGATGCCCGGACCGGCTACGATGCACTCAACAGCGACACGCTGCCCACCGACCGCAAGATCGCGATTGATGTTGCTGTTCTCCGGCAGGCCATCATTGAGGACAACATGCATTGTTTGGTGCGGTGGGTACCCGGTTCCGCCATGCCCTGTGACGGGTTGACCAAGTGGGCCGACAACAAGGTGCTCCTCAACCTGTTGACCTCTGGGGAATGGGCTTTGGCGGACACGGAAGAAGCCCAAGAACTCCGACGACAAGCTGGCATCAAGCGCGCAATGTGGCGAAGGGCAACCAAGGCTAATTCAATAGCGTGTCACGACAGTTCTGCTCCAGAGGGGTCGTGATTGAAAGCGAGCCTTTGCAGAGTGACACGTTCCGTTATTTAGCCCTTCTCGGCAGAAGCCAGCTCGAAGAAGTGATCACTGAAGCCCTTTTCGGCTTTCCTTGCAGGGTGCGGGAAAACAAGGGGCGCCCAGGGTTGTTTTCAGTTTTGCCGAGCTGCCATATTTCGCTGTAAGGCCCTAATCCTTAGAATCTAAAACCTAAGGCGCTCCCAGAAGTTTTTTGAACCATCGACAGGTACACGAACATCCCGAAGGATTGTTCATTATCCCCACAGCTCAGGGTTGGAGAACACTAGAAGGAACCCTTTCAACAACGGCATGGGCTTGTCTTCGTCTTGTGCCACAGCCCACATGCCGGCACTAAACCCTGAAACCCTAAAGCCCTAAACTTAAACCTGAAGCCCCAAAGCCCTAAATCCTAAACCCTGACACCCTAAAGCCCTAGGGCCCTAAAGCCCGAAAGCCCTAACCGAGATCAAGTGGCTGCGCGAGTCCGAGCTCAAGCACGGACGCACCGCGGCCTTGCATTTCGTCGATGCTTTGGGGATTTGGGTTTAGGGTTTTGTAAACTTCGGGGAAGAGTACACCCTAAACCCTACACCCTAAACCCTAAACCCTAGACCCAGAACGATTTGTGTAAGGGTTCAGAGAGTTTCGGGGCTAGGGGTTTAGGCTGTTTCGGGTTTAGGGCCTTTAGGGTGAGAAAGATGCTTGAGATAGAGGGTGCTTGAATAATCAGTTTAGGGTTTCCATAACCCTAAACCCTAAACCCTAAAGATCCTACAAGGTTCCCTAAAGGGGTTCCTGCACCTTTTGTCCTCTGAGTGCTGGTGCAGGGCTAACATACCCTGGCTACGAACATGGTGAATTAGAGTTTTAGGGTTTAGGGCTTTCGGTTTACGTTTTTTTTTGTGCTGGTGGCTTGATGTTTAGAGTTTAGGGTATGCTAGTTTGGGGTTCACGGGCCCACAATCATAACCGGGGGCTTGTCATGATTCCAAAGAAGAGTTGTTGGGATTTGCTTGTAGAGTGGTTTCGGGCCTCCATATTTATTTCCATATGTAACAGACAAGTTCACAGCTCTGACGTCGTCCAAGAAGCGAGAAAGAGAACCACCAAGTGGACGAGAATGAACGCTTTGCCTTGGACAAAGAGGCCTGACGCCGCCGCCATGGCAGTGGACAAGATGCGGGCCAAGAAACTTGAGGCAGCCCCAACTGTACCCCGAGCCCCAAAAAACCGAAACAGCAACAACTTGCATGCAGCTGGAAAAACCCTCCAAAACCCGGAACCCTGAAGACCTCGAGCCCTGAAGCCCTACAGACCCTAAGCCCTAAACCCTAAGCCCTAAAGCCTAAACCCCAAAACCTAAGCCCTAAACCCTAAAGCCTAAGCCCTAAACCCCAAGCCCCCTCAACCCTCAACCCTAAGCCCTATAAACCCTAAGC